GTCGGCGACATTTTTTGTGACAACGCCACGAATTTTTTAGGACCATCCAACCACCTAAAAGAGCTCAAGCAATTTCTCTTTACAGATGAAGCTCAAAAAGGAATGACTAACTTTTGCTCTTCAGACTTTATTAAATTTTATTTTATTCCACTCAGGACACCCCACTTTTGCGGCCTCTAGGAGGCAGCAGTCGAATGCGCAAAGGGACTACTCTCTATCGCACATTGGCAAACGCAAGACTAACCTTGTAAAAACTGAGCACTGTTGCTGTGGAGATAGAGGCTATACTAAACTCGCGCCCGCTCTCACCGCTATCATCAGACCCCAATGACTTTGAAGCACTCACTGCTGGATATTTTTTGGTCGGTTCTTTGCTGCGCGCGGACTTGGGCGAGTCAAGTCCACCGTACTTAGAAGAGACGGTCAAGTTCGAGTTGCACGCCTCCGAACTGCCAGTGGTACTTGTTGCCGGCGCATACACAATCTTGCTATCCTGCCAGTGTCTTGAAAGTGGATCCTTTCAACGGAGCCGGGATGTTGGATCACCCTTTATGTTTTTAGTAACTACTCAAATAACTTAGAATTAAATACACTCATTCTGTGCAAGTTCCTATTGAACTGTCGTTGCGCGTGGACGCGTTTTTTCCACGTTCTCTGGTCGTTTTTATAGCTGTTGTTTCTTTTTTTCCTGCTAACTCTAATTCGTAAAATGAGTGACAACATACATGTGTACATAAACTATCAGAAATCAGAAATTGTGTGCCTTTCTATTTGAGACAGTGACTCTAATACGTAATATTTAATATTTTTGCCTGCTATTTTTGTACTAACAATGCCGTGTGTATGTGCAAATAAGGTGGAGCGTGCACAAGATAAAGTGCAGTGCAATGAGTGCAATGAGCTTTTTCATCTAAGCTGTGTTAACCTTCTGCCAGCTGATCTTGAGTTTTTGCTAAAAACGGGTAAGCAATTTCACTGTAATCGGTGTGTTACCGACCGGCGTCATTCTCTTCGTTTGCCTCCATCACCCAACAACACGGATGAGTGTAATGCTAATAATATAGAGCAAAGTGAGCTAATCAAGTTGGTCAAGCAACACACATCTAAGCAATCAATTGCTTTAGAGGCAGCACTAAATGAAATCTCCGCTCTTAAAGTAGAAAATACTCGCATGGTTGCTGCAGTCAATTCTCTGCGTGAAGACAATTTCTCACTCGTCAAACAGGCAGAATCACTTGAAGCTGAAGTTCGCTCCCTGCAAAGTAAATTTCGCTTTGATGAGTTGCTGTCGGCGTTCTCCTCTCTTGCTACTTTAATCAAGGCGTCTCGCGACATCAACAAGTGTACCGACGCTAAGTTTCAAATTACTGTGGCAACCGGACTGAACGAACGACCCGATGGTAACCCTGGCGGTTACGAAAGAACGAAACAAAAGCGCATTCAACAAGAACGACGAGTAAATTACTTTTTATCGAATCGCCGGGGAATACACACCTATTTGACCCAAATCATATTTTAAAAATATTAATTAGTTTGTTAAGCACTTTAGCGTGAAAGTGCCACTACCTCAAAAGTCTTTGGAACGCTTATTAAGCCAGCAAATATAACGGCACACCGAGTTACGGTTCTCGGTGACACCTACGACCTCTGGAAAAATGAGCGTGAACGGGAGCGAAAATAACTCCGCAGAGTCTGCTAAAAACGACAGCAACGCTGACGACACCGAAAGCGCCAACAACGTGGACAGCGACAAACCGCAAACCAATGCGGTTTTCGGGAAACTACCGTTTCCCAAGCTCAACTCGAGATACAACATCGAGTCGTGGTTTATTAAGGTGGACGCATGGTTCGAGCTACATGGGTTTGGCGTACGTAAGGAGAAAGATAAGTACACCGCTATAATAGCACATGCGGACAACTACATTCTGGACCAGGTTTTCGAACTAGTGCGCTGTCCACCTACAACGGCCCCGTATGCCACGCTAAAAAAGCCATAATCGATAAATTCAGCGATTCAGCTATGGCTCGACTCGATAACTTGCATCAACTCGCCATTATCGCTGACGCGGTACTCGACGCATTAAGCCGCGATACGCACCTAACATCTCCGGCTAAGGGAGCTGGGGTCAACGCGATTGAAATGCCAGCAAACCGGGTGGCCTCTCTATAAAAGCGGATCGAGAAACAAGATGCCATCCTCGACAATATTAACAGTAAGCTGAACCAACTGACTCTCCGCCATCGCAGCCAACAACGCGAACGTTCACGCAGCAACGCGAGACGCTCTAACACACCCCGTGGTACTACAAAGGCGGACCAATATCCGACTTGTTGGTATCATCGCGAATACGGAAAGCAAGCTCGTAAGTGCCGCAGCCCTTGCGACTTCCCGACGAAAACCACAAGCACAACAAAAAACTGAGCACTGCCGTACAGCCTAGGCTCGAAGGTTACGGCAGAATAGAATCATCGGGCAATCAGTCACAATGCGAATTAGAGGTAAAGTTTTCAGAATTCACAAAATCTTAACGTTTTTTCATCCCAGATAGAGGGCACAATAGACCTAAGGTCGCAGTGCACAGCCTCTAACATTCTATCTATCTATCTATCCCAGATAGAAAGTCGGGCGAACTGTTTTTGATCGACACTGGTGCGGAAGTATCAGTTATTCCCCCAACGCGGGCATGTCGGTTGTCGAATTTCAAAGGCAGCCCGCTGTTCGCAGCTAATGGCACCACCATCAACACGTACGGCGTAACACGGCGAACACTCGACCTAGGCCTACAACGCAAGTTCACATGGGACTTCGTCATCGCGGAGACGAATTACGCAATTATTGGCGTCGACTTCCTCGGTCGCTTTAACTTAATCATCGATATCGCGAATTCCATACTAATCGACAAAGCCCACAAATCCACTCATCGACAGAGTCCGCCAGGCATATTTAGCTTCGAAAAGATGAACATCAACGAAACATGCAGCAATTCCGCCGATATCACGAATCTACTCCACGAGTTTAGTGGGATCACTAATCCTAATGCAACGGCCCCATCGGCAACACAGGCTGGAGTAACTCACTGCATCGAAACGAAAGGCCCGCCTGTTTTCGCTCGACCAAGACGCCTCACAGCAGATAAATTAAAAGCGGTAAAAGAGGAGTTCGAATTTCTAACCAGGCTTGGAATTTGTCGGCCATCAAAAAGCTCGTACGCCTCCGCGTTACACCTGGTCAAGAAAGCAAATGGGGAATGGCGCCCATGTGGCGACTATCGTGCTCTTAACGCCCAGACAGTACCGGATCGTTACCCGCTACCACACATACAGGACTTCACGCACTTCCTGTACCGAAAATGCATGTTTAGCAAAATCGATCTCAACCGAGCATACCATCAAATTCCCATCGAACCTGGCGATATCCCGAAGACGGCAATAACCACGCCATTCGGATTATTTGAGTTCACGCACACGACGTTCGGTCTGTGCAACGCGGCGCAAACGTTTCAGCGTTTTATGCACGCAGTTTTCCGTGGACTAGACTTTGTTTTCGTGTACATCGACGTTGTGTGTATCGCTTCAGAAAGCATCGAGCAACATAAAGGCCATTTGCGACAAGTTTTCGCACGTCTTCGACAGTTTCACCTGACGATCAACCTCAGCAAATGTAAGTTCGCTCAAACTCAAATAGAATTTCTCGGGCACGTCGTCACACTAGAAGGTATTAAGCCTTTGCCTGAAAAAGTTCAAGCGATCGACAATTTTCCTCGGCCCAAAGTTGCCAAAGAACTACGACGGTTTTTGGCGATGATAAACTTTTACCGTCGGTTCTTACCTAACGCAGTGCATCACCAAATACCGCTGGTAGAATTAATCCCGGGAAATCGAAAAAATGACACAACCCCAATCAAATGGACCGAGGACGCGGTCAATCACTTCACTGAATGCAAGAAGCAGCTAGCAAACGCAACACTACTAGTTCACCCAGCACCAAATGCCCAGATATCGCTAAGTACAGACGCCAGCGATAATGCCATCGGTGCTGCACTCCACCAAATCGTCCACAATGAATTTCAACCGCTCGCATTTTTTAGTAAAAAGCTCACCTACGCCCAACGTAGGTACAGTACCTATGATCGGGAGTTGCTCGCAGTATATCTAGCCATAAAACATTTCCGCTGTTTGTTAGAGGGGAGACCGTTCGAGGTACGAACCGACCATAAGCCACTCGTGTATGCATTCAGGCAAAAACCAGAGAAAGCATCACCGCGACAGCTGCGACAGCTTGATTTCATCGGGCAGTTCACTACAAACATTGTTCACGTCGCCGGTACCGAAAATACCACCGCCGACGCACTGTCACGCATCGAGACAATCGAGTCAATAGCAATCGACTACAAACAAATCGCTGAAGATCAAACAAAGTGTTCAGAGCTGAAAAAACTCATCGAAGGCAATACTTCTCTGCAGTTAAAATGGATACGCATGCCAAATACCGAACACAAAATCTGTTGTGATGTATCTACACCGGAGGTACGCCCGTTTATACCACAATCGCACCGTAGAAATATCGTCAATAAGTTGCATAGCAGTTCACACGGAGGTGTTCGGGCAACCACAAAACTCATCAAGACACGATTCGTTTGGCCGAACATGGGAAAGGACATATCGAATGCAGTTCAACGATGTCTCAGCTGCCAACGATCAAAGGTCAGCAGACATATGCGATCTCCTTTGCAAGCAATCTCGTTACCATCGTGCAGATTCGAGCACATTAACGTGGACATTATCGGCCCATTACCGCCATTGAACGCATACCAGTATTGTCTGACGATCATGGACAGGTACACAGCTGGCCAAAAGCCATACCGATTAGAGACATAACTGCAGAAACAGTCGCAAAAAAACTTGTCAGCGTTTGGTTTTCACGATTTGGCATACCTGCGCGCATCACCACTGATCAAGGAAGACAATTCGAGTCCCAGCTGTTCAACGAGTTGTCACGCATGCTAGGCATAACTCACCTGCGTACAACGGCATACCATCCGCAAGCGAACGGGATCATCGAACGTTGGCACCGTTCCCTGAAAACGGCGGTAACTTGCCACGAACGAGAAGACTGGAGTTATCGCCTGCCTATAATACTCCTAGGACTTCGCACAGCATTTAAGCCCGACATCGGAACAACTGCCGCGCAACTCGTTTACGGCGCCAATCTAAGATTACCGGGACAGTTTTTTAATGGCAGCCAGAACCATCGACCACAATCGGATTTCGCTAAACAGCTCGGCGATATAATGCAGGACATACGTCCAACTCAAACCGCGAACCACGACAGTACCAAAACCTTTGTATTCAGCAAATTGGCGGACGCAACGCATGTCTTCGTGCGTAACGACAAAGTGCGGCCAGCGTTCCAACCGCCATACGACGGCCCATACTCCGTAATCTCCAGACACCCAAAGTATTTCACCGTCCAAATCAACCGCAATAGAGTAAATATATCAATAGATCGACTTATACCAGCTTTCATCGAATCACACCAATCGGATATACAATCGCCGACAATTTTAACTCAACAAAATTCAGTCCAGTTGCACATGACTTCATCATCAAGTCATAGTCCCACAGTCAATACACCAATAAATCGCCTCGGACGTAAAATAAGACTTCCCGTCCGTTTCAGAACGTAAAGTCTGGGGGAGCTCTGTGGCAACCGGACTGAACGAACGACCCGATGGTAACCCTGGCGGTTACGAAAGAACGAAACAAAAGCGCACTCAACAAGACCGACGAGTAAATTACTTTTTATCGAATCGCCGGCGAATACACACCTATTTGACCCAAATCATATTTTAAAAATATTAATTAGTTTGTTAAGCGCTTTAGCTGTAGTTTTATTGTTACAACTCAATAAAGTTAGTTTAAACACAAACTAGTGATTCACTTTATCCCCATACTATCAACAACGCTTTGAACAGTACATCTTCGAAAACTACAACTCGTTCAAATTCTCTTCGCTCTCTTAGCCCCGCTGGTGTCATCCCCGTTGTTTCTCTCTGCGCGCCTGGGCCTATCAGTGTGACTACATCAACAATAGCAACCACTAAGNTAAAAAAATAAAATTAAGGCTACTGCCGACTCTGCTTGCGTCGGTATCGGAAACATTAATGTCGGCGTGACAACATTAATGTCCGCTACTACTAAGGGACCACTCTCGTATGCTGATGCTGTCCCTAATTCTGCCTCTGCTGCTAATTCGGCTGCTGCTACTACCACTGATGATGTTAGTTATGTACATTCTCAACTAAACGCTGATGCTCTGTCACTCCCGCCGGCTGAAGCTAATTTGGAATCGCCTGCACAGTGGACACGAATGCAAACAAAAAAGTCCGAAAAGCAGACTACCACTGACGTAGTAATTAGTGTCAACAAAAGCACGGATCTCGACGTTGTCGCATCCAAAACCTGGATCCATCTGTCGTCCTTCAAATCTACTGTCAGTGCCGAAAATATCATAGCCTATGTAGCGAGAAACACCGCAATTGATAGCGGCCAAATTGCCTGCTTCCCCCTCATTAAAAAAGAAACTGATATTAACAAGCTAAGAATATTAATTTTAAGCTTGGTGTCTCAACTACGCTCCTTGGCAAGGTTCTAGATCCTGCCTGATATGGCCAGCCGACGTCAAAGTTCGACCTTTTCAATTTATTCAAAACGCTACCGGAAAAAATAAGATTGCCTAGCAACTACCTAACAAAAAAGTTTGTGAGTTTAAAGAACTAAAGATTTACTTTCAAAACATGGGCGGCATTCGGACTAAATCTGAGGCTATTCGCATTTTAAGTGCTTATTCGGAGTTTGATGTTATTATCTTTGTGGAAACGTGGCTGAGTACGGACTTTTTTGATCAAGAGTTTTTTGATGCCAAACTATATAATGTCTTTCGTAAAGACCGAGATGCAATAAAAACGGGCTGCTCGCTTGGTGGTGTGCTAATTGCGGTACAACGGAGATTACGGGCTGGTCAAGTAACTCTTTGGAATTCGGATACCATTTTGGATCAATTGTGTATCTGCCTAAGTGGATCTCCTGATTATCGCTCCTTATATCTAAATGCATCGTATATTCCGCCTAATAGCAACTACTCCATTTATAAAGCACACACAGATAATATTGTTCACTTTGTTCATAACAACTTAGCTGATAATCATCTTTGTGTATTTGGTGACTTCAACCTTCCTAACATTTCGTGGTCTGGATGTTTCTCTAACTTGGGTCTTACTCCAACCAATATTACAGCTGCGCATGAGTCGTATTGTATAGATAATATCTTAAGCCTAGATTTAACTCAAATTAATTATTTTACTAACAAGCTTAATAGAATTCTTGATCTGGTTTTCACCAGTGCGAATATTAACACCACCATTTCCCAGTGTCTTTCCCCATTCTCTCCGGCAGACAAACATCATGTCTCGTTATCACTTAAGGTGGAATTCTATGAATTCTCTGTCAGCAAGTCTGAAGAAAAAGTTACGTTCAAATATGGATGTTGTGACTTTGATAAACTAAACTCTTGCTTGCTTGAAACTGACTGGGCGAATCTGTTCTCCAGCTTAGATGTTGAAAGCTGTTATTGTACTTTTAAATATCGAGTAAACGAAATCTGTCTTAAAAATATTCCAATAAAGAAAAAAAGGGCCTACAAACTTCCGTGGTACAATTATGAACTAAAAAAACTTAAGAACCAACGAAATAAGTTTTTTAATAAGTTCAAAAAAACTAAGGTACAGTCTCATTTTTTACGGTATCAGCAACTGTTGAAAAAATTCAACTGCCTAAATAAGTTCCTTTATAGAAACTATATTTTCAGTGTAGAATCGAACATTAAATCAAATCCTAAAACTTTTTGGCACTACATTAAGTCTATCAAGTCCAGCGTAGGTGTTCCTTCTGCGGTTTGTCTTGGGAAAAAACTTGCTAGCTCACCTTTAGAAGTTGCCAATTTATTCGCCGATTTTTTTAAATCGAATTTTTCTAATGACGACGTTAGCGACCCGTGCTACTCTTCTCACAATAACCCACATTCATCACTAAACTTTGGCTCCCTAAGTCTTACTTCTGATGACATAATTCGGGGCATTAATTCTTTGAAAGTCTCAACTCAGACTGACATTGATGGTCTTTGTTCCGCCCTTCTAAAAAAATGCCCAGCGCTAATACCACCTATTAAATTTATTTTCAACACCTCACTACGTACTGGAGTTTTTTTGGATAACTGGAAAGTAACCACTATTACCCCAATTTTCAAAAGTGGCAAAAAGAATGATGTTACTAACTATAGGCCTATCTCCAAGCTGTCTACAATTTCTAAACTGTTCGAAAGTATAGTGAAGGAAAAAATGTACTTTGCCGTTAAGAGTTTAATCTCACCTCACCAGCATGGCTTTGTCGCTGGACGGTCTACGCTTACTAACCTAACGGTCTTTAGTGAATACTGCATTGACACGTTTTCTTCTGGGCTCCAAGTTGATTGTATATACACTGACTTTTCCAAGGCATTCGACAAAGTATCCCATTGCATTCTGTTGCGCAAGCTTGCCACGATGGGTTTCCACTCTATATTCCTGAAGTGGCTGAATTCTTATTTAAGTAATAGGTGCTGCGTGGTCTCAATCGAGGGAGTATCTTCTACTCCATTTACTGCATCATCTGGCGTACCACTGGGTAGCATCTTAGGACCTTTACTCTTTGTTCTTTTTATTAATGATATAGGCAGCTGTTTTTCGTTCTCTAGGTTCTTGCTTTACGCGGATGACCTAAAAGTTTTTTCTTCGATTAAGAGTTCTGAAGATGCTTCTAGGGTTCAATTAGATATAAATAGATTGTACTTATGGTGTTGTCGGTCTCACCTACATCTCAATATTAGCAAGTGTTATCACGTAACGTTTTCCAAACTACGTAACGATGTGCAAACGTCCAACTGTATCTCTGGTACTCCCCTTCAGTCAGTTTCTGAGATCAAAGACCATGGTGTAATTTTCGATGCGTCTTTTTTATTCAATAACCACATCAATTTTATCATATCTAAATCTTATGCTGCGTCGGGATTTGTTCGTCGAAATAGTAGTGATTTTACTGATCCCTACACTCTGAAATTACTCTACACGTCTTTTGTTCATCGAAAGCTTGAATATGCAGCACTCATCTGGAGACCTCATCATAAATTTGCCATCGATAGAATTGAGCGTATTCAAAAAGTTTTCCTTAAATATGCCCTTTCTTCCCTCAATTTCTCCACTCCCATCCCTCCGCAATTCAATTCAATTTCTCCATTCCCGCCTACTTTTGATTAACCTTAAGTCCCTCGAAAGCAGAAGGACTATTCTTTCCTTGTCTTTTGTGCGTGGCTTGGTAAGTGGTGAAATCGATTGCCCCGCATTACTCTTGCTATTCAATTTTTTATTGCTGTGAGAACACTTCGTTTTAATCTTCCCTTTTACCTCAAGGCCCTCAGTACGAATTACGCAAGAAACGCGCCGTTAGTGCGTGCACTTCGAGAACTCAACGAGATTTCGAATTCTATTTTGCTTGATTTTTCTTTGCCCAAGAATATATTTTATAGTTTATTGAATTCAATTTTATTTTAGTGCCTTCTGCACTTTAGTTCTCTGTATCGTTTTAGTCAGTAAGAACCTTTGTAGTTTATTGACTTTTGAAATAAATAAATAAATAAACTAAACACCCACTTATTGTAAATGTACATACACACACATGCACACATAGTCAACAATACTCTCACTTACTCCTTTGAACTTTCGCTTGTAAATACTTCGCAAACATTCCAATAAATTACTACAATTCTATCGCTCAAAGGAAACAGGTCGTTTTGGGTTTCGTTCGCGTCGCTATATATACTTATACATATCAACGCCGTGGTTTAGCTTATTTCGATTGGCAAAGATTGTGGTCTCTGTTCACTAGAGTTATACACCCCCACTTCTGTGTAAACAAGAAAAAAGTTCTTGTAACAAACAGTGGTTCCACTGCTCTAGGTTTTAAGCTGGAAATGCATATAAGCGGATGCTTATATCGGGATTTTTGGTGTATATTTAAATAGCGGAAATTTTTTTGCAATGTTTTTAGAGCTTATAAGCGGGAAATGCATACCAGTCGGGTTACTTATAAGCGAGAAATACTGTACTGGCCTGTCTTTTCCCACTTTATCCAAAATATGTTTCATTACATCAGTATCGGCTTTTTTGCCTTAAGCCACTCTCTTCGGATACATGCCATGTTTATTGAAGAAAATTATAATTTCGTGCAGACCTGTGCACAAAGTGCTTACGGGATCTTAAAGTAGAAATGTTCCTTATTATTGTGCATATAACCACTAGTCTGGGTCAAGCTAGACTTGCAAGATCTGTTCGATTAAAAATCTTAATGCTTTCAAAGTTATTAATTTTTGAATATTTTTTGTTTATATGTATATAAGAAAAATTATCAACCTACAATGGAAACTTATTTTAAAAAAACTTCGCAAAAACAAGTACTGCTACATAAAAGTTTGCGAAAAATTTCATGCAAAAAATTAATATTTCACGCGTCACTATGGGCAACGTTTGACAGCGATTATTTTTGTTGTTGTTGTTTTTTCTTTTGAATTAATTAGGTTGACTTAGTAGCTGAACAT